TTTCAATGGACAAATACTTTCACTCTGAACATGGAAGGACACACTTCAGAAATATATGCTTGCAAACAATTTAAGACGAGCAAACGGAAGGTGACTATCTACCGGCAACAAGCAGGCATTTGCCATTGTGTAATGAAGACATCCTTTACCTGGGGTGCTTGTGATTTTAAAAATATCCAATGCACTGAACAAGCTTTGGCTTTACGATCAACCAGAGAACACCTTTGTTTCCGGACTGCCTCAATGCGTAATGCTCTTTTTAAATAACTTTTAAACCCAGCTGCACTGGGTAGCCTGAGGTTAGTACCTAGGGATCATTCACTACACTGCGTAGTCCACATTCATGACTGATATAGCCTCACATTTATATTACATTACACACACGTTCAATTCAACACTGTCCTTAGCAATAAAGGCAATGTCTGATCCTTACCTCGATAACGTTATGGAAAGGCAAGCGTTGTCCATATTAGATTCATAGGTTTTATTTTTCTGCTTGTAGTGCCACCTTGTGGCACACAATTAATTCAAAAACTACTTAAGGTACACGGCTATAACAACATCCCTTCACCCAGGGCAATAATCCACAGAGCTTGTTATGACTTGTGCACCTTGAAAGTATGCAATATTTTCTACTGGTACATACATCCAGTGTTGCAAATGTATTACGTTACTATAAATCCCTAAATTACTCATCGCATCTACTTTGTTGGTTCTTTTACACAGAGCTCGGCAAGGCCCCCTGTGTTTTCTTCTGAGCAGTCTATAATCAACCAGAGGAGAGGTTAGACATTCAGAATATTTGTGGAAATGGAATATGGCGCACAGTCTCTATACAATCCGAGATAATAGAGACTCCAAGCAATACTGGAACTGTCCTTCTCTAGAAAACTGGCGGGCCATTTACCAATTAACTCCACGGGCAGGTTTGAGCGCTGGAGGGCCTGGCAGAGGTCTTAGAAATCCTTCTCTTAAGTGTCTGACGGAGCGACAAAATCGGTCTGTACAATTCCCCAAGGTCTGGAGGCCCACCGCCTGAATAACTAACTCCCTGAAGAGTTCCTGCCGGAGTAGAGGCATTGCTATTTTCTGGTAGAGATGTCAAATTCACGCTAATGCCAGCTGGCTGGCTGCGAACACCAGTCCCTCTGTTCACACACATCACGGCAGCACGTGGATGCCTCCGGGTCTGAGCATTTAACTACAGCAGCAAGTTTCAGACCAGAATTCATCACTACCCTGCCGCACTACTTTCAGTTGCTCTGCAGGGCTGTGTGGTCATTCACTCTAGAGAAGAACAACCACACGACTAAATCAATAGAAAAGTTACATTTGTTACCTAACCAAACGTCAAGTCAGGTTAATGTCGAGACAAACACAAAGTGAGCTGCACACCTGCCAAATATCCTACTTGAAAACAGGCAAATGTAATAGGAACGTTTTTCTGGTTCATTTTCTATAAAGGGGATAAAAAAAGTACTTAACCTGTGGACTTTTAAAAACCTACTGAAGGCAAGGACTAGTTATGATTTGGTAAAGAGGTCCCCCGTCCTGCTCCATCTCCTCAGGGCTTGCTTATACAGGGAGGATATCATGAGGCAGGCTAGGGTGTGAATTCACAGAGCACTTGCTGCAGCTCTGGAGCAGAGCAGGTGTTAGGTAGCTCATTCCACTTTGAAAGAAACTTAGCAGACTGAGTAAGCTGCCTCAGGCTTGCTATGTGTTAACAGCCCCCACAGTCAGTACAGAGGAGCAAAAATTCACACCCTACCTTGCTTTATGGCAACTCCCTTCCCTGTGTAGAAAGAAGCTCAAGGCTCGTCTCTCCTGCAAGCTCTCTACTGTGCTGCTGTGACTTGATGAAATGACATACACGGACATCTGGGCTGCTGAAAGATGCTTCACGCTTCACAAGACTCGCAGTTTATTCAGTCCAGGACGAAGGTTCTGCTGAACATGGGTGAGACTATCCTGCTAATACACAAGCCCTCCAACATAATCCTGTTTTCACTGGCTGCAAAACCTTGAGCTGCTCTGAAAGTTTGAGGGAAGGGGAGGAAGAGGAAAAAGCCACAGCCTGGTTTAGCTCACCGTCAGCCCCAGTACTAATGGGGACAGATCAGGTCAGGTGTCATCTGCCAAGTCCACAAAGGACTGGTTAGACCTCAGTGACCTCGTTCAAGACCTTTACTGACTCCACAGCAGCAGCTAGTAAGGGGCTAGAACAATGCTCTTCATAACATCTGTGCCCAGGGCCAGGCAACAAAAAACGTAGTTATTTCACAGAATCATAGAAAGTGAGAGCTGGACGGGACCTCAGGAGATCATCTAGTCAGTCCAACTGCCAGCTCAAAGCAGGACTCCCAACCATTTCAACCTCTCCTGGAAACTGGAGCTGCAAGTCAATAATATATCAAGTAGAAAAGAGCAACATTATTAGGAGGAAAAAAAAAAAACTTGCTTTCAAGAAAAAAGCAGCTGCCACTCAAATCAGGTCTAAGATGCACACCCACCAGGCAGGTGGAGGTACGTTGATTTTTCCAACAGAAGCTACTGAAGCCATTCAAATAAAACTGATCAGTTCTCTTGTTTTGTAAGGTACTCTGATCTCTTGTGTAAGCTGCCCTGAGCCTTTGTTGGGGAGGGCAGCATATCAATCTAATTATCTAATATATATATATATATATATATATATATATATTGGCTGTCACAATTTTGAAAGACATCAAATCACTGAAATGTCAAAAGTCACTGACTGAGCATCTGGAACTGAGCTTGTTGAAGTCTTTAAGCAGGTTTTGACAGGAGTAGTCTCTTTAGCGGGGGCTGAGAAAATAGTCTTCATATCCGCATATTCAACTACATCAGTTGAACAGCACCTTTACTTAAGGCTCAGGAACTGACCAGAGGTTGAAGCAGGGGGAAAGATTTTTATTCCTTCGCCAATTTATAGAATGACATCTGTGGGTTCTTAATTCTTGACGGACGTGGTAACCAAAAGCAATCAAGTCAATTCGCTACCGATGGATATCTCTGCGTATAGAGACTAATCCAAACAGGATTTTTTTTTTTTATTGAAAACTTATTTTCATATGTTTGCAATACATTCAAGATGTTTTTCTTTAATTGCAATAAAAATATTGTTTATGCATGTAAAAATTTACATTCTGTCCAAACGAAGCTCAACATAAATCATGAACAAAATAAAAGTCTAGCCAATCAAATGAACATTCACCATTTTCCAAAATAATAATTAAAAAGTTAAGAGAATAGCTGCTTATATGTTATATGTATGTTAATACAGTGCATCGTCCTGGTTGTACTACACCCTACATTATACCAACCAATAACAATCAAGCTTTCTTTAGATTATAAAGATTACATAAAGGACAGAAATGCAAAAACAAGATTAAAATCAGTGATCTAAACAAAAAGTTTCCTGCTTGCTGATTTCCACATTGATCAAACTCAGCCACTTAAATCACCAATTATAAACCGATCCGCCACATCTGTTGAAAATAAACAAATACTTGAATATTTGCTGCTACTCTTTAATAACATGCAATCCATTGGCCATGACTGATCTGAAGGGGGGAACAGATTCATTTTCTAAGTAGCTTTACTGACTAGCTGCCAACAGGCCACGAAATGTTCATAGAATCATAAGACAATGAGGGACCTCAGGAGGTCACATCTAGTCCAGCCCCCTGCTCAGAGCAGGACCGACCCCAACCAGATCATCCCAGCCAAGGCTTTGTCAAGCCAGGCCTTAAAGCCCTCCAGGGATGATGGGGATTCTAGCACCTCGCTGGGTAACCTGTTCCAGTGTTTTACTACCTTCCTAGTGAGAAAGTTCTTCCTAGTGTCTAACCTCAACTTCCCTTGCTGCAACTTGAGCCCGTTGCTCCTTGTTCTGCCGTCTGCCACCACTGAGAACAGTCCAGCTCCATCCTCTTTCGACCCCCACTTCGGGGAGTTGAAGGCTGCCATTAAATCCCCTCTCAGTCTTGTCTTTTGCAGACTAAATAAGCCCAGTTCCCTCAGCCTCTCCTCACAACATGCAAACTGTGTTTATTTGCAAACAGAATTACTTTTTGTAAGCAGATATGTTTATGTAGTGGTAAATAATCATCCCAGAGGAAACTGCTCTTACACTGAATGTTTGCAGATGCACGCACACACAGAACTAAAAGATCTGATCGCGTTAGTATCTGATGGGCAAACAACAGAGCTTGGTGTTGGGGGAGGCGCAGAAAGAAGGGGAGACAGATGCTTGTTTTCCACTGGCTGCGTAACTCCTTCCTTTTTGTTTCTATTCTTGCACAATAGTAAAGAAGTATAGCACACCAAAGCCAGTAAGTGTTCAGAAATTACCTATAATCCATTTTTACAAGCAACACTTCCCCTTAATTCAGACGGAAGGTGATGTAGCTACATTTCTTTGGCCCCCAGAAAGCTTTTGGAAAGCATCTCAAGAAGATGCACGCTTCTGAAAGCATCCCACATGGCTCTCATTCACCGTAAGCAGCGGTGCCCTGTTGCATGGAGCAAACATGAGTTCCTTGTTTCCTGATGTACTTTTTGTGCTACTGACAATGATTAAAGCAGCTCTGGAAGTAAACAAATCAGGGATTGTTTCACAAAATGGTTTTAATTATTTTTGTGCCAGTGAAAGCCTTAACAACAACACCAAAATCCACGGCAGTAGTTTCATAATCGAGGAACTAACCCAGAAGGCAAAACACAAGAAACAAACAAAAACCCCACAAAACAAAACAGTTGACTGTAGAACAAGGTCATCAAACATACAGCAAAAAAAATTGGCATGCTCATAAAAGCAAAAGATGCAAAAGCCTGTAAAATGAACGTTTTCCGTAACTGCAGAAGCATACAACATTGGGTCCTAGCACTGATATGGATGAAAACTGCCATAAGTTTTTAAAATACTTTATAATTATGCTACTGTTCATATAAAGAAAATACAGCGGGACGGCTCTTACCAAATACAGCAGAAAGGTATGAAGACCTGTTCCGAGTCCAACAGAGGACAGAATGCCTAAGCCTACCCAGTAGGCACACCAGAAGCACTTTTTCTCCATATACCGCACATACTGGAAAAGAAGAATGACAAAACAGGAATGGCGATTACCCGTGGAAGAAGAAAGGAAAGATGCCGCACTACTGCCTAGCTACTTGAGAAAAACGTGTCAGCGTTAAAAGGACTGAGCTGGACTTCCTGCCAGCTCTCAAAACAAACTAACCTGTGCTAGGCTCGGCTAGGATTAAAAATGCTGTAGGCAAACGGGGGATGTTCACTCACATGCAATGGGGTTGGTCCCCAAAGGATATTATGCTCAGTACTGTGGCTGTAATTCCTTCCAACCACCTACATGGTACAGGCACAATGAGAGGCAGCTGGGCAGGGCAAAGAGGTCTGCCAGGCCTGTCCCCTTCCCTCATGCAGGCAAAAGAGATCTTGCTGAACACCTGTTAGCAGGAGCCACCTAATAGTAAAATGGGAGTTCATTCAGCCTTGGCCCCTAAGCCAAGGGCAGAACTGCCAGTGCCCTACCTTACACTGCACTCGTAAGTCAGGCACTTGTCCACAGGGAAGAGGATCTAGGTCACCACCTTATTTCAGAGAGCCCAGAAAGGAGATAACGATTTTGCCACTGCCTACCCAAGGTGGGCTTGAACGTTTCTGTTCTGTTTAATGGGAAGACTATGCCGAGAGGAATTCTATTTAAGGTATGGGTCAATTAGCTACAGCATTAAAAAAAAGGTGCGCCTGTGTGTAAAATGGAACAGCAAGCACAGGAGCAACGCAAGCAAACAGGATCTTGGGTTTCTAGGTCAAGGGCAAGGCACAGCAGAGAACAGGGGAAATGAGCATTAGATGTCTTTTTCGATACATAAATGATGTACTGTGGTGCAATTATAAAAGATCTGGCTTTGCGAGATGGAAACCCTGCACCACAAATGCGCAGCTAAGAGTAGGTAGGAGGTGCGTTCGAGTGGACTCGGTATGAAATCTAGTCATAGGGGGTGGACACAGGAGTCAGAAGGGTAGAAGAGGCAGCCAAATGCCAGCCCCCTGCTTGGCAGCCCTTTCAACCCAGCTCAGCAGTCTGCTGGAGAAAGACTCAGGATGGGGAAGAGGAGGATGCCATCCCCTTAGCATATTAAGGTGATGGTGCCATCCCTCTACGTCACCCAAGAGGCAGGCAAGTATTAAACCCATTTCAAAGGAGAAGGGATACAAAACAGCAGCAGCATGGAGATTTGAAGGCATAAGCTCCTGGCCCCATGTTCAGAGCATCCTGTGTCTACAGATAAAGGCCACCCCATATAATTAGGAGACCTCTCTGCTACGAAGAAGGAAACATCTGTCTGGGAGCTCTGAAGCTTTTTATCATAGCCATGTTTAGCCCTAGCTAAACAGCGTGTACCAGGGTCAAACGCTCACTGACCACAGGTGTGGAAAAGCACTGCTGCAGCTCTGACGACGGTTACTTTCTTAGCAACTAATGGCAAGTGGAATACACGTCACTGGAGTGTGACGGGCTCACGGATACAACCACTCTTCCCCCATCATTAACACTGATGGTTCTGCAGGTGGGGGGCGTGTCTCATTACACAGAGAACAAACACCCTCAGGCAGTGGAAATGGTTAACCAACATAAAACAAAAGCTCAGGAAGATGCATTACAATTCCAGCATGGCATCATTCAATCCCTCATGCATGCACTCCCATGAGGTACGTCATTCAATCCCTCATGCATGCATTCCCATGAGGTACGGGCAGGAAGTGACAGCCCTTCCCCTCCCTAGAGAAAATAACTCGTGTATCCTCTACCTGTTGATGTATTCCTTCAATATAATACGTAGCTGTAAGTGCTGCAAGCAGCAGTAAAAAAGACACCAAGATACTTCGGCGATGCCACAATCTGAAAAGACAAATTGCAATTAGGGCTGCTTGCATTTTCCATGCGTGTCAAAGTCATCTATTTATCCCCATAAGACAATTTTTTAAGGGTAAAAAAAGGGCAAAAGGAAAGCCTAACTAATTCGCTATGGCAAGATACAGTTCAGTGCTCCCAGAATGGAACTGAGGAGTCCCGATTCATGGGAATCCCCGATATCACTTGGAAGTGGAATAAAATCACCCTGTACTTCTACACCACTTCATTCAAGTAGCTCAGCATTTTGTATACGCTCAACACTCAAGGTAGCTATTACTGCAGTACAATCAATTTTCTTAAAGTCTCGATCGGGGGTAGCAAAGGTATAAAGCAGTCAAGTAACTTGCCCAAGGTCAAAATCAGGGGGAGGGCTGAGAATAAAAGACAGAAGTCCTAATTCTGAGCAACACACTCGGACTGGTAGGGTGCAGCAGCATTAGGATGGGCTGCCTCAGCACTGCTTGGGTTCTCAGTCTACTGACATTCACCCTTGAAAAGCACCTTGGGAGAATTTCATGTAAATAAATTCTAGCTAATTATCAAGTGGACGGAAACTATTGGTGGGGGGCAAATAGGGGGTGGGCACGTTTCCCCGACATAATTTGAGATCCAGCTACTTCTGCTTTTTGGCCTGGGTAGGTTTTACAAGGCTGCAATAAGAGATATTTAGATTATTTTTCCTAGCAATCTAGCTCACCCAAATTGTCAGCTCGTGCTAAATGAAGCAAGCTTTAAAATTTCCTATTCCTACGTTAAAAAAAAAAAAATGAAACTATTGACTGGAATCTAAGGATTTCTCTTGTCAGTTATTTACAAGCAGTTTCACTAGTCCTCGTGCCCACCCCCCACCACCAATTTTTATAATTTACAACCATATTTGCCTATTTTCAGTTTTCCCCTCCCTTGTCACTTTATGGAAAATCTCCCAGGGCGAAATCAACTGTACTGCAGAAGCAGTGACTGATGCCCTCAGAAGACTAAATTAGGCTGAACACCCCCCCCCCCCCCCCCCCC